CCTTCCTGCCTTCCTGCCTTCTTGCCTTCCTTCCTTCCTTCCTTCCTGTTCTCCTCCCGTCAGGGTGTGGGGTCGAAGCCCAAAAAACATTCCGGATTGGTGTACTCCCCAGGAAATAAGCAATATGTGTTTTTTGATGCTTAAAATGTTTTTGTTTGATGCTTTTGATGCTTGTAAAGTTTTTTAAGCCCTATCCCTTCCCAGCACATGGCCATTTCAGCCACCGGCTTCCGAGGATACGAGCATGCCATGTCTGGCAGTCGGATGAAGCTGTTTAAAATCTTCGTCCCTGCCATGCCCACCGGTTTGGTTTTACTCGGTTGGAAGCGGTTTGACTCAAGCACTTGGAAGGCACGGTTGGCATGGCATCGCTGCAGCTTTCCTATGCAGCCTGCCGCAGACCTGTTGAGGAGCAGAGGCCGGTGCGCACCGAGACGACCAAATGGAATGTTGTTGACAACGAACCTGGAGCACATCACGTTGGAGAGCATGCTACTGTGCAGTCCTTGTGGCCTGCATGTACGCAGTGGGACGTACAGTGTCAGCAGCCATAAATATGGAGCCTCGCTTACAGCATCTTACAGCATCTTCGCACTGCTTAAGAACAGGACTTGTTGCCCAAGGCTGGTGCGAATGCCACATGTACACCCGCCTGCAGTAGGCTTTTCAAGCCAGGCCTGTGAAGAAAGGTACCCACCAAGAGCCTAGAATGTTGTGCGAATTATGCCATTTATGTTGCCTGCCTTCCAGGGGGTATGCGCCATATGAACCAGTTGAGCCTCGCTTTCTCACAGGTCATCAAAAGGGACTCTCTCACATCCTACCGCAGGCAATGATTGACACTGAGACAGACTCTGACATGCTTTAAAGTAAGGTCCTGACAGCGCTCTCAAATTTAAGCCACCCGAAGCAGCCACCGTGAGCAACCATAGGGGCTGTGGCTTCAACCTGAGAGTGACTGAGTGAGGCTGCCTAAGAGAAGGCGACGGATGCGTTTTTCTCAGACTGACACCTAGCACGAAGTGCCGTCCAAACTGGTCTTGACCTGCTCTCCCCCACGAGGCCTCAAGCCAAAGCGGATATGGCTTGGGCTTTGGAGCAGGCTGCGCCCTGAGAGCGCAGCCACGCAGCAAAGTCTGTCTGTCTACTTTGCCTGACACGGGATCCTGAGAGCATTGTCAGAAACCTAGCATCCAACAGCCAAACCCAGAAGACTTGGTGCGTGACTTTTGGCAGAGGCTTGCCGAGTAAGTGCAAAGTAGCTCCGACAGGTACGAGTGCCCGTGCGCAAGACAGGATCCTGCGAGGAGCCACATTGCTTGGATCTCACATCGCATCAGCACATGGAACAGCTTCCCAAAGTGCCCAAGCAAACACTAGTTTGTGCTGTCTCGCTGACTAACAATCTGCTGCTGCCCGCTGCACTTCCTGTGGTAGCTGCATTATCCAGCACTCACTACGCTCAGAACCATGATGCCTACATGAATGAAAGGCAGGCTTAGCTTTGTGGCCATCCAAGCTGGACGATGCATCTACCCTCGAAACACCATATCGCATTACCCCATGCCTGTTCGCAGAGCCGCATCTATGGTCCAATACCGACACGAAGACATGCCTAATAAGCAACTTTCCGCAATTTGAGCATCTGCCTTCTGCCAGAACTGCAAGCTACTGCAAGCCAAGTACGCTGATACAGCACTCGCAGGATCTGCCGGAGGTATTACGGCAACCTCAGGCAGCACCGCACCATCTTGCCTTCGCTAGTCGAAGGCCCGCTGTGCCTCATCGGCGAAAACCTCAGACTCGCCTGTCTGTTCGGGTGGTGGCAAGAGCTTTGCCTTGAGGCCTCTGCAAGTCAGCTGCAGGTACAAAAAGAAACGACGCAACGCAGGCCTTGGCGAGGCCACGGACCCAGCTGAGGCCCAGGCGAAGTTCGGCCTCAGCAAGGTCGACGAATTGCCCACCCACCTGCAAGAATATTTACCTCTGTCACAACCAGAAAACAGCGTGCGCACTGTTACTTTTTGCATTTGCGCCTTGACCAGCATATCGCTGCGCCCTCGAAACTCCAGGCGCAGCGGGTTCTGCTGAACAATGGTGACCTCAGACGCGTTCGCACTCAGGAGGAGCTTCAGCCAACTTGCCATGAACACTTCGCGAGAAAACTGTGACTCGGCAAGCCACAATATCCTGCGTCTTGAAGAAAGGTGCCTGAAAGGCTGCAAAGGTCCTCTTTTTTAAAAATTTCTGATGGCAATCAACTCAACTGACAAAAACTTGCAAATGAATAGCTGAGCGCAGGTCGGTACCATCTGATGGCGTCATAGTCGATGCTATGTGCTGGCCAAGATACCTGCCATGCAATAACAAACCAATTTCCCAAGTTCATGTTCGGAGTCAGGCCGCAGTGTCTCGCTTCAACTGCTCATTTTGCCTCGCCTTGTGGTGACCATGGGCCCCCGTAGACAGAGCTGTCCAGTGGCGTCACAGGCCGCGCACAGCTTGCCGTGATCCAGAACTGCAATGTCTGCACCGGGGACTGAACAGTAGACAGTCCGACCATCAGATGAGGTCGTGCCTTCACTAAACAGGCTCAGCCAATACTCTGTGCTGATCAAAAGCTCAATGACGCGTCGCTGCTCTGATCTCCATTGCGTGGCCAGTACAGGCGACATGGACTCGCCCCAGCAGAAAACACAGCGAACACTTGGTACTGCCTGCGGGTTGATGGATTGCAATGCGGATGGAACTGTCCCGAGGACCGTCACTGCATGCCTTGATATGGAATCCTGGTCCATGTCAGCAATCCAGATGGAGGCTCCATAGCTAAGTGCGATGTTGATCTGGCCGATTGCGCTCGCAGCCCACAAGACAGGCGTATGCTGTAATACACGATCTTCGCAGCTCAGGCTTTTGAAAGACTTGGGGTAGGTGGTCACTTCATGCAAAGCCATGTCATGTGATATACGAACGCACTTTGATGATCCAGTTGTGCCGCCAGTCAATTGGTAGCACAAGGCTTGATTAGCCTTTCGAAGTGTCTCTGGAGGGACCAGCTCAACGTCTGCACATACCTCCTGCAGCTTCTCAAACAGTAGCATGCGTGGTTTCTTTCCCTCATCCCAATCTGGAACGACCTCCGGAGCGGCAGATCTGTCCAACAACACCAGCTCAGGATGCAGTAATTGCATTATCTGATCGTTGCGCTGTCTTTCAGCATACCGCCCTTTAGTCGGAAGCTCCCCTGCTCCCATCCAGACAAATGGCAAGTTGCAACGAATCACTCCAAGTGTTGCTGCAAGCCATAAGGGAGATCTGCGTGCCAGGATCGCAACAACCTCCACAGAATTGCCGCGAAGCGACGCAGCTTTGCATTCTGCAAGTACATGCTGTTCAACGATGCATGATTTCTGGCATAACTCCGCCCAACTCCATGACACACCGCCACCGCTAATTGCAAGTTGAGACGGAAGGACAGATGCCCAATGATCAAACACATTCACAAAGCTTTGCCAGCTTTCAGTTGTTCGTGAAGATGCCTGAGTGGACATCGGAAGCAGGACGTTCCCTCACTGCTACCATGCCAATTCCCGCTCTTCTACATGTGTATGACAGAACAAGTAAACACTCAACTGATGCGCATAATGCAATTAACACGCAGACACACATGCAAAACGCTGCTGCTACTAAAGAAGGCCACCACTGGTAGAGAATTCGTCTTGGTACCGAATTGGTAAGGCCAACATGTAGACGTTAGAAAGCATGCAGCTTGGAGCACAGCATTTGAAATGGCCAATACATTGTGCACAAACGCTTGAGCCCGTTCTTGCATCAAGAACAAACTAAAAAAGCACCCGCCATTCAGCCACAAGTGTGTTCTTTAATGCTGGGGCCTATGAAACATATTCCCACTATCTATGCACACAACTTCAACACCAACACATGTTTGCAAACCTGACGCAAATCCCCCAACAACACGCACAGCAGAGGTTTACCGTACACACAAAGACTGTGACAAAGGTCAAGCATGCCCCCAGGTAGGAGCAGCGATCCAAGCAGAACTACTGTCCCAAATGACAAATGGCCTTCCTCAAAGGGGGGGGCACTGGGAACACCATAGTGGTTGCCGGCAGAAAATTGTCGAGCTGCTGAAGCATTCACAACGCAATAGAACCCCAATTCGCAGTAGTCTTGTCGAAGCCTAAATTCGTAATGGTGGTGTCATATGAAATCGCATATGAGAACGTCATTAAAAAATTAGTTCTCATGAAACCTTACCTACTGCTGAATTGATTTCGTGATGAACCCTTTCGAGCTCCATCTCGTAATATCACCTGACACACCCCGTGTCGTAATACTCCCAGGAAGGGCGTTGATTCATGACAGCCTCTTATGGCATACTCCCTTCATGCACTACGCACATCCACATTATGAACTGTCCTGAAACAAACCTGCAGATATCATACAACAAATGGGGAACTGTGAGTTATTCAACTGTCGAATTGGACTATATCTTCACATCACGGGGCAGACCAACTCGATCCAAGCCGTTACCCGTTAGGCCACATGTTAGGCGAGAGGCCCAAATCACAAAGAGCATGGTTTCAAAACTGAACAAAAAACCCCATGATCTGGACAAGCTCCAGCTCACCTTCCTGCATGACGACGGCGCCATGCTGATTCCTAAGATTACGTTTTCAATAACTGGACCTCCACAATACCACCTTAGCAAAGCACTCTGTTTTCAATTGGCTGTACCAGAACTTGACAGGCATCCAAGCCGCTTAAGCAACAAGTTTAAATGGCCTCCCCAGAAGCCGAACTTACGCAGTACTGCCCTATGCCGCATGGCTACGACGATTGTGGGGGGCAAATTCAAGTTGCATACTCCTACGCTTGGCACCCGAAGCTACTTGTAGAGGGCCGAACGCGATGCAATGGCGACAGCTTTGCACAAGGCCACGTTCCACAATGGCACGGCACGAGAGATTTGATCTCAGTAATGTTGGACCCTGTTTTGTATGGAGGGGTCACCCCTTCCCCCGTGAACAATGAACTACTTTTCTTAATAGGGAGACACCTCAAATTTGCTGCGCAGTTATAAAACCAATAACAACATGCACCTTGAAACCAACTGAAAATCTAGTGAAACCGTTTTAAAATCAAACAGCTCCATCCGAAACCAAGTGAAATCCCATTTTAGCCAATCGAACTCAAATTGCTTAAAATGAATTTCACGTCCAATTAGAATCAATCAAAAATTAAAGGACCGGAGAACCCCACATGTGTAATTTAACTTAAATCTATGTGAAATGATATTAGGATACTGTCGCCCAGCAAAAGAAGAAGACATGTTCGAACGGGAGGTGAGAAGACGAAACAATCTGCTGATTTTTCCTTCACAACAAAGCGCACGCGGAGTAAAGTGGGAGTCACAACATTGGGCTCAAAGTTACAGGGAGCAAAGACATGAATCAACACACGTTAGTTTCAAATACCGGCATGGAAAACATGGCGTGTTCTAACACTAGAAAGGTTTCGCACCCGGCCTAAACTGCGAGCGGAGTCCAAATCCACCTTACTTGCAACAAATTTTTCACGACTTCTAAAGTCGAGAAGGAACTAACCCGGCGTCACAACAGTTTAAACAGCTCCCGTGAGAATCATAGGACCGCAACTGCATTCATGGCATCGCAATCCTGCAAATGTTACGTGTACCGCTAGGCTACCATTTTTTCGCAAGCGCTCTATCGCACTATCAGCTGTTGTTGTTCCAGCTCAGTGTTGTGTTAACACATCGTGAAACATGAAGCAAGCCGCACTCAAGTACCTGTCACCAAGGAATCGCAAGTCAAACTGATCTTACTTGTGCCATGCCAAGCTCTGGGCTGGCGATATTCACGGTTCGTTACTTCTTCAGCCACAC